TTTTGGCCAGGTCATAAATAGGGTAGCAAAAATCGCAGATTTTGGTCATAAATAGGGTAAGGGTTTTGGGAAGTGGGCCGCACACCCCCACCCAACTTGCAATTTCTGGGAGTACTCCCCGCCGGGGGACTGTCTTCGCGAACCTCTTCTCGGTCTCGCGTGTACCCACGTGCAATGCGCGGGCTATTAGGACGCCCAATTTTTTTTTTTTCCGAGAAACTCGTTGTTTACAAACTATCGATTCTGAGAAAGACTGATGGCGGAACTTCAATGTCCTTTTATGGTGTTATGACGCATGTTTCATTCATTCACAACTGTCCTTCAGTTACAGTGGTGGCGAAGGTCATCTGATAATCTTTGCTAAAGCACGTCTCATGTCACGATCGAGACACGCCATATATACTACGATACACCATGTGCTTCATGCGGTTATCAATCACTGCAATGAATGTCTAAAGCTCCGGGTTAGTTGATGAGAATGAAGTGCATCAGCGATTTCTGCTAACGATTTCGGTAATTCCATAGTAATGCCTGTTTCATGCATGTCCGAAGAAAACCACGGGTGTGAAAGATGACGACCTTGGACAGACACCAAAACTCTGTCAAAAAATAAACAGCCAAAATTGAAGTCTAAATAATCATCCTTCGAAAATCAGCGGCTTATATCATTAAAATGAGGTACGAACAAAATTCACTCGTGTAAGTCACAAACTGCAATAACAGACGCAAAAGTTCAAGACCTGAAAACGATAGAGTAAATAACTTAGGATGGCAAATAGAATTTATTAAACCAGATAAGCGGTTTTACAAATTTAGCCTGTTCTGATATATAGGCCGATTATATTTTTCCGTGTTGTGAGAGGCTAAAGATTGTTAAGGCCTCGCCGACACTACGCCGGAGGAATTTGAAAACACAACAATCATTGATCATTTTGGATATGTGCTTAAAGGAAAACTCGGTCAAGGAAATGGCATTTCGAAAAGCTTCGTTTTCAAAATGTTTCCCGTCCACACGAAAACGAAAAGCCAACGTTTCCAGATTCCTCCGGTTTCAAGAGCGTTTTCGATAAGCTCCGTTTTCGTGACAGATTAGTGTGGACGGCAGGCCTAACCGTAGAAATAAATCTGCGTTTTTAAATTTCTCGGGCGTAGTGTGGAGGGGATCTAAGATGAGCAGCTTGAGTTCCTCAGCAGCAGGTCTTAATTGTTCAATATAATGGCTGGATAATGCCACTCACCGGATAAAGCACTATCCAGTTTGTTTTGCCATCACTAATCCACTGGGCCGGGTTGTTCAAAGCCCGGGGGGGGGGGG